TGTTTTGTGGTGGAAAACTGAGCGGGTTGAGTATAACACGTCTACCCTGTGACTCATAGATAGACAGGCTAGAAATGTTTTAATGATTTACATTTTTAGTGAAGCTTTCATTCAATTGCCCCTCCCTGTTGCACATAACAAGCTTAAATTCCCATTGTCACAAGGGGATTATGGCTGATTTTAAGATGAAGTTGTCAACCCTGTTACGTTCAACAATGTTCTTTATTTGGCACTTAACCATCTAGAGTCTAAGCCCTGTCTAAGCCAGGGGAGGGAGGGGAGGTTCTAAGCTAACATATGGAATTGTTTTAAGATGGTCATAGCAAGGATCATTTAGCTATTTGGAAGGGGAAAAAAGTATTTAGTCAGCCACCAATTGTACAAGTTCTCCCACTTAAAAAGATGAGAGAGGCCTGTAATTTTCATCATAGGTACACGTCAACTATGACAGACAAATTGAGAATTTTTTTCTCCAGAAAATCACATTGTAGGATTTTTTATGAATTTATTTGCAAATTATGGTGGAAAATAAGTATTTGGTCACCTACAAACAAGCAAGATTTCTGGCTCTCACAGACCTGTAACTTCTTCTTTAAGCGGCTCCTCTGTCCTCCAGTCGTTACCTGTATTAATGGCACCTGTTTGAACTTGTTATCAGTATAAAAGACACCTGTCCACAACCTCAAACAGTCACACTCCAAACTCCACTATGGCCAAGACCAAAGAGCTGTCAAAGGACACCAGAAACAAAATTGTAGACCTGCACCAGGCTGGGAAGACTGAATCTGCAATAGGTAAGCAGCTTGGTTTGAAGAAATCAACTGTGGGAGCAATTATTAGGAAATGGAAGACATACAAAACCACTGATAATCTCCCTCGATCTGGGGCTCCACGCAAGGTCTCACCCCGTGGGGTCAAAATGATCACAAGAACGGTGAGAAAAAATCCCAGAACCACACGGGGGGACCTAGTGAATGACCTGCAGAGAGCTGGGACCAAAGTAACAAAGCCTACCATCAGTAACACACTACGCCGCCAGGGACTCAAATCCTGCAGTGCCAGACGTGTCCCCCTGCTTAAGCCAGTACATGTCCAGGCCCGTCTGAAGTTTGCTAGAGTGCATGTGGATGATCCAGAAGAGGATTGGGAGAATGTCATATGGTCAAATGAAACCAAAATATAACTTTTTGGTAAAAACTCAACTCGTCGTGTTTGGAGGACAAAGAATGCTGAGTTGCATCCAAAGAACACCATACCTACTGTGAAGCATGGGGGTGGAAACATCATGCTTTGGGGCTGTTTTTCTGCAAAGGGACCAGGACGACTGATCCGTGTAAAGGAAAGAATGAATGGGGCCATGTATCTTGAGATTTTGAGTGAAAACCTCCTTCCATCAGCAAGGGCATTGAAGATGAAACGTGGCTGGGTCTTTCAGCATGACAATGATCCCAAACACACCGCCCGGGCAACGAAGGAGTGGCTTCGTAAGAAGCATTTCAAGGTCCTGGAGTGGCCTAGCCAGTCTCCAGATCTCAACCCCATAGAAAATCTTTGGAGGGAGTTGAAAGTCTGTGTTGCCCAGCGACAGCCCCAAAACATCACTGCTCTAGAGGAGATCTGCATGGAGGAATGGGCCAAAACACCAGCAACAGTGTGTGAAAACCTTGTGAAGACTTACAGAAAACGTTTGCCCTGTGTCATTGCCAACAAAGGGTGTATAACAAAGTATTGAGAAACTTTTGTTATTGACCAAATACTTATTTTCCACCATAATTTGCAAATAAATTCATTAAAAATCCTACAATGTGATTTTCTGGATATTCTTTTCTCATTTTGTCTGTCATAGTTGACGTGTACACATGATGAAAATTACAGGCCTCTCTCATCTTTTTAAGTGGGAGAACTTGCACAATTGGTGGCTGACTAAATACTTTTTTCCCCACTGTATGTGTTATTTCATAGTTTTGATGTCTTCACTATTATTCTATGATGTAGAAAATAGTTTTAAAAAAATAAAATAAATAATAATAATAATAATAATAATTGAATGAGTAGGTGTGTCCAAAGTTTTGACTGGGACTATATACACTGCTCAAAAAATAAAGGGAACACTAAAATAATACATCCTAGATCTGAATGAATGAAATAATCTTATTAAATACTTTTTTCTTTACATAGTTGAATGTGCTGACAACAAAATCACACAAAAATGTTCAATGGAAATCAAATTTATCAACCCATGGAGGTCTGGATTTGGAGTCATCCTCAAAATTAAAGTGGAAAACCACACTACAGGCTGATCCAACTTTGATGTAATGTCCTTAAAACAAGTCAAAATGAGGCTCAGTAGTGTGTGTGGCCTCCACATGCCTGTATGACCTCCCTACAACGCCTGGGCATGCTCCTGATGAGGTGGTTGGTCTCCTGAGGGATCTCCTCCCAGACCTGGACTAAAGCATCCGCCAACTCCTGGACAGTCTGTGGTGCAACGTGGCGTTGGTGGATGGAGTGAGACATGATGTCCCAGATGTGCTCAATTGGATTCAGGTCTGGGGAACGGGCGGGCCAGTCCATAGCATCAATGCCTTCCTCTTGCAGGAACTGCTGACACACTCCAGCCACATGAGGTCTAGCATGTCTTGCATTAGGAGGAACCCAGGGCCAACCGCACCAGCATATGGTCTCACAAGGGGTCTGAGGATCTCATCTCGGTACCTAATGGCAGTCAGGCTACCTCTGGCGAGCACATGGAGGGCTGTGCGGCCCCCCAAAGAAATGCCACCCCACACCATGACTGACCCACCGCCAAACCGGTCATGCTGGAAGATGTTGCAGGCAGCAGAACGTTCTAAACACATGCACATGCACATTTGTGGCCTGCTGGAGGTCATTTTGCAGGGCTCTGGCAGTGCTCCTCCTGCTCCTCCTTGCACAAAGGCGGAGGTAGCAGTCCTGCTGCTGGGTTGTTGCCCTCCTACGGCCTCCTCCACGTCTCCTGATGTACTGGCCTGTCTCCTGGTAGCGCCTCCATGCTCTGGACACTACACTGACAGACACAGCAAACCTTCTTGCCACAGCTCGCATTGATGTGCCATCCTGGATGAGCTGCACTACCTGAGCCACTTGTGTGGGTTGTAGACTCCGTCTTATGCTACCACTAGAGTGAAAGCACCGCTAGCATTCAAAAGTGACCAAAACATCAGCCAGGAAGCATAGGAACTGAGAAGTGGTCTGTGGTCACCACCTGCAAAACCAGTCCTTTATTGGGGGTGTCTTGCTAATTGCCTATAATTTCCACCTGTTGTCTATTCCATTTGCACAACAGCATGTGAAATGTATTGTCAATCAGTGTTGCTTCCTAAGTGGACAGTTTGATTTCACAGAAGACTTGGAGTTACATTGTGTTGTTTAAGTGTTCCCTTTATTTTTTTGAGCAGTGTATATATATTTTATTTATATGTATTTTTTTCTCACAAAGTAGTGCACTGGGCCTTTAATAGTCCTGTATTAGCGGACCTGCAAACCCCCCCCCCCCCCCCCCCCCCCCCGCCCCGTAGAAGATAAAGATTGCATCACCTCCATCCCCAAACTACTTCCTGCGGCTATGTGGTGCCCTACCAAATCTCATCAAATTAAACCAATTCAGTTTTTATTCAGAGCTTTTACAAATGCATTTATCACAAACAACAGCATCACAGGCTTAATCCCCCAAAGAGCAAATAGGGGCAACAGTAGCAATAACAAACCACACACTAAACTGGAGTTTTGATCTCATAGTGTTTACACTTATGCACACTACACACCCATGACCCCTTTAGAATGCCTGGAATGGTGGTCGGGGCCTGTTGACATCCCCATGTCTCATTTTGGAATGGTGGTCGGGGCCTGTTGACATCCCCATGTCTCATCATGGAATGGTGGTCGAGCCTGTTGACATCCCCATGTCTCATCAATATGGGGATAATCCTGTTTTCTCTATTTTGGGCTCCTCTTAGAGCCATATGCAGCTGTCAGAAGCACAGAGCCAAGTGGACCTCAGACACACACTAACTGAAGGAGAATTCAAATAGTGAATCTGTATAAATTTACGAGAGAGAGAGAGAGAGAGAGACACATCACTGCTCCCGAATGCACACCATGGATGAGTGTGGACAGTGCAATATCCGTCCATATCCTGTTCCCCATATTACTCTGTAGATAGTGATTGGACAGAACAGAAGCTTCCCTGCTAGCACATAACATTCTGAGAACCATATGTTTCTTAGAGCTTGGTGAGAGTGTGGTTGTCCTATGCTTATTTTGCATACAACCTTCCCGCAACTTTCTGAGAATGGTGCAGGATAGTTGCTTGGCTTTGGAACATTCTCAGCACATTTAATGAACTTGCATAAAAAATATTCTATGGATAGAGAACAGATGGTTATAAGTTCGACTCTCACTGATGCCGTGTCACAATAAAATAAGAAATGTGTTTGCATGATTAATGCATAAGGAAATTCATTTCCATGTGTTCTATCTGTGCTAAAAAATAGTTAACCCCCCAAAAGCTAGAAGTGTTATTAAAAGTCTTCGTATTTTGTCTCAAATTTAGAGCAGCTGAGGGACCAATACCATGGACAATTGGCAAAGTTCAAATGTAATTTTATTAAACATTCCGGCTTGTAGAGGACCATTTCCACAATCAAACACTGTCACACGGCAGGTACTGGTAGCCTAGCAGTTAAGACCATTGGGCCAGTAACCAACAGGTCGCTGGTTGGAGTCCCCGAGCCGACTAATTGAAAAATCTGTCGACGTGCCCTTGAGCAAGGCATTTAACCCTAATTGTTCATGTAAGTCGCTTTGGATAAGAGCATCTGCTAAATGACTAAAAGTGTTCCAGATGGTGTATTAGAAATTCACCATCTAGTCCCCAGGCAACCAATCAACCAACTGTCAGTGGCTGTGCAGGTTTCAGTCACTGGCTGATGGTTGTTGTTTAACTTGTTTGTCTTTCAGTGCAGAAAGCCCTGAAGTACAGGAGAGTGAAGCATTATGGTTACGAGTTTCGCTACGACAACAACAATGTGGACAAAAACAAACCGTTACCTGGAGGTGTGTATGTCTGTCAGTCCCTAATATCACGATTACAGCGTATGGAATATACTCTCAGTGATTCCCATGCTAAACATTGATGTTTGTTGTCTTGTTCCCAGGTCTTCCCCAGGTGTGTGTCCCTGTGCTGGAGAGGTGTGTGAGGGATAGACACAAAGACGTCATGCCAGACCAGCTGACTGTGAACCAGTAGGTGAGCGTAATCTTATCTCATCCAGCAGCTGTAGTACTCTCCTTGACCACATAGGGGCAGCAGAGCTCTGCAGTCATAAGGTAGAGGACAATGAAGGTAGTATCAACGCTGCTGTAGAATCAGACTGTAGTGTGTGGAATTGGAAATGAACACAACCCTCATGGCAGTTATTCAGAGGTAATTTATAGACCTTTTTACTGGTTGGTGTTTGGATAACTCATGTTAATAGTGCCAATGGTTTATTTGTGTTCTTGTTGTCAGGTTATCCTCCTCATGTGGACACTCACTCTGCCTTTGAAGACCTCATCCTCTCCCTAAGCCTGGGGGCTATGGTACATCTACAGTGGTGAGGGTAGGGTAGATGATGGTGACGTAAATGGCTTCGATCTGCTTTCTTTTCTCACAGAACATTGTCTGTACTCTGTTCACCATCTCTCTCTTCTCCCCACCCTTTCCCCTTTCTCTGTCTCGGTCTCCCTGTCTCGGAGACCTCGGTCTCCCTGTCTCGGTCTCCCTGTCTCGGTCTCCCTGTCTCGGTCTCTCTGTCTCGGTCACCCTGTCACGGAGACCTCGGTCTCCCTGTCTCGGTCTCCCTGTCTTGGTCTCTCTGTCTTGGTCTCCCTGCCTCTCTGTCTCTGTCTCTCTGTCTCTGCCTCTCTGTCTCTGTCTCTCTGTCTCTGCCTCTCTGTCTCTGTCTCTCTGTCTCTGTCTCTCTGTCTCTGTCTCTCTGGTCTCTGCCTCTCTGTCTCTGCCTCTCTGTCTCTGTCTCTCTGTCTCTGCCTCTCTGTCTCTGCCTCTCTGTCTCTGTCTCTCTGTCTCTGTCTCTCTGTCTCTGCCTCTCTGTCTCTGTCTCTCTGTCTCTGCCTCTCTGTCTCTGCCTCTGTCTCTGCCTCTCTGTCTCTGTCTCTCTGTCTCTGCCTCTCTGCCTCTCTGTCTCTGCCTCTCTGTCTCTGCCTCTCTGTCTCTGCCTCTGTCTCTGCCTCTCTGTCTCTGCCTCTCTGTCTCTGTCTCTTGTGCTCGGTCTCTCTCCCCTCTCTCTCTCTCTCTCTCGCTCTCCTCTTGCTCTCCTCTCTCTCTCTCTCTCTCTCTCTCTCTCTCTCTCTCTCTCTCTCTCTCTCTCTCTCTCTCTCTCTCTCTCTCTACCACTGCAGTGAACCAGCTTTTCAGAGTTTCTGTGAACGTGTTACTGTAGCAGTCTAATTGAAAGGATTGAGGATAGGCAGGTGTGAGTTTGCACGCGCACGTCTGTGTATGAAGGTTTTTCAGTCTAATGGGAGGGTATGTTATATTTAAGACCTGTCTCTGCTGGAGAGGCCTTCACAATGATGTTTAGTATCCCACAAGAGACACACACACGTGTACACACACGCACAAACTCTACCCTGGAGAGTTCCGTCTCATAGACTGAGTTGATGGTGCGTCTCTTTGAAGACTGTTTCTTTTGGTTAATGGTGAATTAATGAAAGAAATACAAAGACCGATGTAGAAAAAACAAATAAGGGAATGGAAAAGGAGAGAGAGAGAGGTTCCAATGTCCCTTATGTCTGTGTGACGTTGTTCCCTGTCACAGCTACTCGGGAGACACTGTCAGCACATGACTGGTTGACAGGAGGGGGCAGCTTTTACTGCGACATGCTGACAGGGCATTGTGTCACTGTTTGTTTTATATATAATAGACACTGTAGATATCCTTGTCTCTGAAGCTGTGGTGAAGTAGGTAGTGTTGAGTGATCGTCTGTGATACTGATATCGTTTGTGATACTGATATCGTTTGTGATACTGATATCATTTGTGATACTGATATCGTTTGTGATATGTCTTTGTGATGAAGTGTCTTGAGGGACGTCTATGTTTGTAAGTTGTAATGAAGCAGTAGGCAGTCTTGAGGGTCTTTGTTTCTTCAGTAGAAATAAATAGGCAGTTATAACTGCTAGTTGTAGGCTTCTACTGTGTTAATATTTCTGACGTTGTAGTAAAGGAGGTTATCTGGAGTGTAGCTCAGTTGGTAGAGCGTGGCGCTTGCAATGCCAGGGTTGTGGGTTCGATTCCCACGGGGGACCAGTATGAAAATGTATGCACTCACTAACTGTAAGTCGCTCTGGATAAGAGCGTCTGCTAAATGACGTAAATGTAAAATAGGTTAGGCCTACTTGAAGATGTCTTTCTTTCCTCTGCAGCAGTAATTTAACAGGAAGTCGTCAAGCAATGGTAATGAATCAGTAAACATTGAACTGCCTTTCTATTCAATTGGTGAGTGTGTGTATGATTAATTGCTGAGTATTGAAGCGTAACAAAGCTGTCTGGTTCTGGATTGATTTGGTCACAGCTGAGCAGCTCCATTGATAGGTTAATACTCCTCAGAAGATCTGAGAGGAGGAAGAAAGCCCAGATCTTGTGCGTGTGTTTGTGCATGCGCATGTCTATATCAATAGGGCCTGTGATTTGATAGGGGAGAAAGTGGTGTAGAAAGTTGTGATCTGTTCCTGCTTTGTAGCACACAGGTTCAGCAGTGTCTGAAGTTCCATTATATCCTGTCACTCTCTCTTCTTTCTTTCTCTCTCTCTCTCTAGCTCCATCTCTCTCGCACCATCTCTCCCTCTCGCTCCATCTCTCTCTCACCATCTCTCCCTCTCGCTCCATCTCTCTCTCACCATCTTTCTCTCTCGCTCCATCTCTCTCTCACCATCTCTCCCTCTCGCTCCAGCTCTCTCTCACCATCTCTCCCTCTCGCTCCATCTCTCTCTCACCATCTCTCTCTCACTCCATCTCTCTCTCACCATCTCTCTCTCTCGCTCCATCTCTCTCTCACCATCTTTCTCTCTCGCTCCATCTCTCTCTCACCATCTCTCTCTCGCTCAATCTCTCGCTCACAATCTCTCCCTCTCGCTCCATCTCTCTCTCACCATCTCTCCTTCTCACTCCATCTCTCTCTCACCATCTCTCTCTCTCGCTCCATCTCTCTCTCACCATCTCTCTCTCGCTCCATCTCTCTCGCACCATCTCTCTCTCTCACTCCATCTCTCTCGCACCATCTCTCTCTCTCTCTCCATCTCTCTCTCACCATCTCTCCCTCTCCCTCTCGCTCCATCTCTCTCTACCATCTCTCCCTCTCTCCTCTCTCCCTCTCTCTTCACCATCTCTCTCTCTCGCTCCATCCTCTCTCACACCATCTCTCCCTCCGCTCCATCTCTCCTCTCGCCTCTCCCTCTCTCTCTCCATCTCTCCCTTCTCTTCTCTCGCTCCTCTCCCCTCTCCATCTCTCTCTCTCTCTCTCTCTCTCTCTCTCTCTCTCTCTCTCTCTCTCTCTCTCTCTCGTTGCTCTCTCTCTCTCTCTCTCTCTCATTGTAGACGGTGATGGATTGGGGAGAGAAAAGAGATGGGAGGGAGAGGTAGAAAGAGAGAAAGAGAGAGATGGAGGGGGGAGTGATGGGGAGGGAAAGAGAGCTGATACCTATGGACTCACTGCTAAGAGGGATATGGAGATGGAGAGTGAGAGAGAGAGCGAGATGGAGAGAGAAAGTGGGGGTGAAGGTTTCAGGATTTCTGCCACAAATGCTAAAATGTTAGTATGTGTAAACATTGCCATGGACACCAAATCATGGATTGATGTCATACCTTGTCCATAGACTGCTTTCCGGGTAAAGAAACCAATGTCATTTTGTAATTTGGGTGAACTATCCCTTAAAATGTGTGTTTTCTGTGGTTTTCTAGGATACATTTACATTTTAGTCATTTAGCAGACGCTCTTTTCCAGAGCGACTTCCAGTAGTAAGTGCATACATTTTCATATTTGTTAGTACAAACCCTGACATTGCAAGTGCCATGCTCTACCAAATGATAACCCCCAGGAAGTTTGACGTGGTGCCAGCCTGTGACCCAGAATCCCCTGCTGCAGTGATCTCTGACCTCAGTAACCATAGTAACCTCACCCTAAAAGCTTTTGTGTGTCTCTGTGTGTACTGACTGACGCCTGCCGTCTGGAGGCAGAGTTCGTGCACCACGTGTACGAGGAGATCGCTGGTCATTTCAGCATCACTCGACACTCCCGCTGGCCACGCGTGTGTCACTTCCTGTCTTCCCTAGAACCAGGAAGCATTCTTGCTGATGTGGGCTGTGGGAACGGAAAGTACCTGGGCGTAAATCCGGAAGTGATTGCATTAAAGGGGTCTGTGAGGGTTGTTTATAAATACTAGCATCTTTTAACAGTATCTATGGAAGAGAGAGTGTCCTGTTTATTGACCCTACTGTTCCCTATCTTCTCTCAATTCAATTAGCCTACCATACAAGTTTCACAGACTCTATTTTTTTTCTCAGTTTTACGAACCCTGATGAAGACAATTTACAGTTACAAATGCTACACTATTTTTGTGAGAATGTATTATTTGTCTAAAAACATTTATTTTCCTCTATCTGGGTACTCAGAGACTAGGTTTTAGATATACCATATAAGCTTTCAAAGACTCCAAACAATCTCTACACGATGTTCCCAGCTTAGCGAAGCCTTGTGAATGCTACTCTACTTTAGTGTAAATGGATTAGGCTACCTGTAGAGACTCTTCACCCCCTCAGCCATTCTAATAGTGATAACTTCACTACTTTGAATTTAATGCAAATGTTGACCTTTGTGTGTCTGCCTCTGTGTATGAGCAAGAGTGAACGTGCGTTTTTTGGCACGCGTGTGTGTTTACACTCACGCATGATGAAACAGACTATATGACATTCTCCCCCAGCCTTGCCCCAGACCCCTCCTCATAGGCTAGAGCGAATGCCTCATAAAGCTTAATTACATTTCTCCCCCGAACAAGAGTTTTATTGAAAAGATTATTATTGCTATCAATTTCCCTCACTCTCTCCTCTCCTACTCTGCTGTGAGTTATTGCAGCTGGCTAATCTGGCTGTAATTTGTCCACTGCTGGTTTTCATTATGTGGAGTAAATTGGGTGACTTTGATAAGGATATAAAGGTCTTAATGATTCTCTCGATGAGGCGTGTGTAAAGGCAGGCCAGTAATGGGGTTGGCTGGGGTCATATAGGAGCTTTATGATCATTAGTTGTGTCCAACTGTGGAAAAGGAGTTGTGTGCGTTTGTATCTCCTATTTGTAGGTGGGCTGGGTGGATTAATAAAGTTGTGTGCATTTGTATCTCCTATTTGTAGGTGGGCTGGGTGGATTAATAAAGTTGTGTGCATTTGTATCTCCTATTTGTAGGTGGGCTGGGTGGATTAATAAAGATGTGTGTGTTTGTATCTCCTATTTGTAGGTGGGCTGGGTGGATTAATAAAGATGTGTGTGTTTGTATCTCCTATTTGTAGGTGGGCTGGGTGGATTAATAAAGATGTGTGTGTTTGTATCTCCTATTTGTAGGTGGGCTGGGTGGATTAATACAGTTGTGTGCATTTGTATCTCCTATTTGTAGGTGGGCTGGGTGGATTAATAAAGATGTGTGTGTTTGTATCTCCTATTTGTAGGTGGGCTGGGTGGATTAATAAAGATGTGTGTGTTTGTATCTCCTATTTGTAGGTGGGCTGGGTGGATTAATAAAGTTGTGTGTGTCTGTATCTCCTTCCTGTAGGTGGGCTGTGACCGTAGCAGTGCTCTGGTCCAGACCTGCCCTGAGAGAGGCATCCATGCCTTTGTGTCAGATGCCCTCAGTGTACCTCTACGCAGTGACGCCTGTGATGCCTGCATCTCTATTGCAGTCATACACCACCTCTCCACACAGGTCACACACACACACACAGACCGACACAGACGCTTTTCCATTTAGTGATTTAATTCATCTATCTCACATTGAGATTGTCTTTCCTTATCAAGCTGTCAGTGGTCATGAACTGAAAATATTTTATTTAATGTTTAATCAAGTGTAGTTGTTAATCTGAGTTATTTATGTGTGTGTGTGTGTGTGTGTGTGTGTCTGTCTGCCTGTGTGTGTGTGTCTGTCTGCCTGCGTGTGTGTGTGTGTGTGTGTGTGTGTGTGTGTGTGTGTGTGTGTGTGTGTGTGTGTGTGTGTGTGTGTGTGTGTGTGTGTGTGTGTGTGTAGGAGTAGAGGCAGGCTGTAGTTGAGGAGCTGGTTCTGCTACTGAGGCATGGAGGATGGGCTCTGATCTATATGTGGGTTCTGGAACAGGAATACAACAAGCAGAAGTCCAAATACCTCAGAGACCAGACACCAGCATCCTACAGGCGACTCCACAGACCACAACAACCAGGAGTCAAAGAGTCTTGCCACAGATGCCCGCAACACAGCACGTGATCTTTCAGGCATAGCCACGGACTGCACCAAGGTCCACCCTGAGACAGAGAGTTCAGCAAAACTTAGCGTTCACACCAACCGCACTGCCTTCAACACCCAGGACCTGCTGGTGTCCTGTCACCTCAAGGGTGGAGGGGGAGGAGGGTGTAACCAGGGGAGGGGATGAGCAGGGGGGACGAGGCTCCAAAAATACTTTAGACCCCCCACTGAAGCTCAGGCCTCTGCACCCAATACTGCACCCAGCCCCAGCCCTACCCCCAGCCCTGCTCTGAGCCCTGTGTTTCACAGCTTCTACCATTTGTTCCAGAAGGGGGAGCTAGAGGAGCTGTTTGTCTGGAGACAGATAAACAAACACTATCAAGATTTTAGTAAATGAGCTCCTAAACTGATAAACATTGAATTCTGAAATAAATTAGCTTTTCAACTCATCAGATAAAGATGAGACAATTAAACGAGCCAATGATGCGTTTTATTGTCTCTGATTATTGTAAATAATAAAGATAGAAAAACATAATGCCCTTCAAATTAATGAGGAAAGTGCCTGTTGGATTTCCTTCACTCCAAATGTATGTATTTAGTTTTAAGTGTTAGAAAAAGCCCCAGGTTGTTGAATGGGAATGGTAACCTTGAAATACACTACATGACCAAAAAGTATGTGGACACTTGCTCGTCAAACATCTCATTCCAAAATCATTGTCATTAATATGGACTTGGTCCCCCCTGCTTGGGAAGGCTTTCCACTAGATGTTGGAACATACTTTCTTCCATTCAGCCACAAGAGCATTAGTGAGGTCGGGCACTGATGTTGGGCGATTAGGCCTGGCTTGCAGTCGGCAGTCCAATTCATCCCAAAGGTGTTCAATGGAGTTGAGGTCACAGCTCTGTGCAGGCCAGTCAAGTTCTTCCACACTGATCTCGACAAACCATTTCTGTATGGACCTCGCTTTGTGCATGGGGGCATTGTCATGCTGAAACAGGAAAGGTTCTTCCCCAAACTGTTGCCACAAAGTTGGAAGCACAGAATCGTCTAGAATGTAATTGTATGCTGTAGCATTAAGATTTCCCTTCATTGGAACTAAAGGGCCTAGCCCAAACCATGAAAAACATCCCCAGACCATTATTCCTCCTCCACCAAACTTTACAGTTGACGCTATACATTCGGGCAGGTAAAGGGCCTAGCCCAAACCATGAAAAACATCCCCAGACCATTATCTCCTGGCATCTGCAAAACCCAGATTAGTCCGTCGGACTGCCAGATGGTGAAGCGTGATTCATCACTCCAGAGAACATGTTTCCACTGCTCCAGAGTCAAATGGCGGCGAGCTTTACACCACTCCAGCCGAGGTTTGGCGTGGCACATTGTAATCTTAGGCTTGTGTGCGGCTGCTCGGCCATTGAAACCAATTTTATGAAGCTCCCGACTAACAGTTCTTGTTCTGATGTTGCTTCCAGAGGCAGTTTGGAACTCGGTAGTGAGTGTTGCAACCAAGGACAGACAATTTTTACGTGCTACACGCTTCAGCACTCGCCGGTCCCGTTCTGTCAGCTTGTGTGGCCTACTACTTCGCGACTGAGCCGTTGTTACATTTACATTTACATTTTAGTCATTTAGCAGACGCTCTTATCCAGAGCGACTTACAGTTAGTGAATACATATTTTTTTATACTGGCCCCCCGTGGGAATCGAACCCACAACCCTGGCGTTGCAAACGCCATGTTCTATCAACTGAGCTACATCCCTGCCAGCCATTCCCTCCCCTACCCTGGACGACGCTGGGTCAATTGTGCGCCGCCCATGAGTCTCCCGGTCGCGGCCGGCTGCGACAGAGCCTGGATGTTGCTCCTAGATGTTTCCACTTCACAATATCAGCACTTACAGTTGACCGGGGCATCTCTAGCAGGGCAGAAATTTGACGAACTGACTTGTTGGAAAGGTGGCATCCTATGACAGTGCCATGTTGAAAGTCACTGAGCTCTTCAGTCAGGCCATTCTACTGCCAATGTTTGTCTATGGAGATTGCATGGCTGTGTGCTAAATTTTATACACCTGTCTGCAACGGGTGTGGCTGAAATAGCCGAATCCACTAATTTGAAGGGGTGTCCCAGCTCTCTGCAGGTCATTCACTATGTCCCCCCGTGTGGTTCTGGGATTTTTGCTCACCGTTCTTGTGATCATTTTGACCCCACGGGGTGAGATCTTGCGTGGAGCCCCAGATCGAGGGAGATTATCAGTGGTCTTGTATGTCTTCCATTTCCTAATAATTGCTCCCACAGTTGATTTCTTCAAACCAAGCTGCTTACCTATTGCAGATTCAGTCTTCCCAGCCTGGTGCAGGTCAACAATTTTTTTTCTGGTGTCCTTTGACAGCTCTTTGGTCTTGGCCATAATGGAGTTTGGAGTGTGACTGTTTGAGGTTGTGGACAGGTGTCTTTTATACTGATAACAAGTTCAAACATGTGCCATTAATACAGGTAACGAGTGGAGGACAGAGGAGCCTATTAAAGAAGAAGTTACAGGTCTGTGAGAGCCAGAAATCTTGCTTGTTTGTAGGTGACCAAATACTTATTTTCCACCATAATTTGCAAATAAATTCATAAAAAATCCTACAATGTGATTTTCTGGAGAAAAAAATTCTCAATTTGTCTGTCATAGTTGACGTGTACCTATGATGAAAATTACAGGCCTCTCTCATCTTTTTAAGTGGGAGAACATGCACAATTGGTGGCTGACTAAATACTTTTTCCCCCCACTGTATATACAGTGTGTGCAAATGTAGTAAATTATGGAGGTAAGGCAATAAATAGGCCATAGTGCAAAATAATTACAATTAGTATTAACACTGGAGTGATAGATGTGCAGAAGATGATGTGCAAATAGAGATACTGGGGTGCAAATGAGCAAAATAAATAACTATGTAAATAACAATATGGGGATGAGGTAGTTGGGTGGGCTAATTACAGATGGGCTGTGTACAGGTGCAGTGATCGGTGAGTTGCTCTGACAACTGATGCTTAAAGTTAGTGAGGGAGATAAGTGTCTCCAGCTTCAGAGATTTTTGCAGTTCGTTCCAGTCATTTGCAGCAGAGAACTGGAAGGAATGGCGGCCAAAGGAGGTGTTGGCTTTGGGGATGACCAGTGAGATATACCTGCTGGAACGCATACTACGGGTGGGTGTTGCTATGGTGACCAATGAGCTAAGATAAGGCGGGGATTTGCCTAGAAGTGATTTATAGATAACCTGGAGACAGTGGGTTTGGCAACAAATATGTAGTGAGGGCCAGCCAACGAGAGCGTACAGGTCACAATGGTGGGTAGTATATGGGGCTTTGGTGACAAAACGTATGGCACTGTGATAGACTACATCCAATTTGCTGAGTAGAGTGTTGGAAGCTATTTTGTAAATGACATCGCCGAAGTCAAGGATCGGTAGGATAGTCAGTTTTACGAGGGCATGTTTGGCAGCATGAGTGAAGGAAGCTTTGTTGCGAAATAGGAAGCCGCTTCTAGATTTAACTTTGGATTGGAGATGCTTAATGTGAGTCTGGAAGGAGAGTTTACAGTCTAACCAGACACCTACATTTACATTTACATTTTCGTCATTTAGCAGACGCTCTTATCCAAAGCGACTTACAACTTGGTGCATTCACCTTATGATAGCCAGTGGGACAACCACTTTACAATATATTTTTTTTGGGGGGTGGGGTAAGGGGGGGGGTAGAAGGATTACTTTATCCTATCCCAGGTATTCCTTAAAGAGGTGGGGTTTCAAGTGTCTCCGGAAGGTGGTGAGTGACTCCGCTGTCCTGGCATCGTGAGGGAGCTTGTTCCACCATTGGAGTGCCAGAGGCGGGAACTGTGCTTCCGCAGAGGTAGGGGGGCCAGCAGGCCAGAGGTGGATGAACGCAATGCCCTCGTTTGGGTGTAGGGACTGATCAGAGCCTGAAGGTACAGAGGTGTCGTTCCCCTCACAGCTCCGTAGGCAAGCACCATGGTCTTGTAGCAGATGTGAGCTTCAACTGGAAGCCAGTGGAGTGTGCGGAGGAGCAGGGTGACGTGAGAGAACTTGGGAAGGTTGAACACCAGACGGGCTGCAGCGTTCTGGATGAGTTTTAGGGGTTTAATGGCACAGGCAGGGAGCGCAGCCAACAGCGAGTTGCAGTAATCCAGACGGGAGATGACAAGTGCCTGGATTAGGACCTGTGCCGCTTCCTGTGAAAGGCAGGGTCGTAGTCTGCGAATGTTGTAGAGCCTGAACCTACAGGATCGGGTCACCGCCTTGATGTTAGCGGAGAACGACAGGGTGTTGTACAGGGTCACGCCAAGGCTCTTTGCACTCTTGGAGGAGGACACAACAGAGTTGTCAACCGTGATGACGAGATCATGGAACAGGCAGTCCTTCCCCGGGAGGAAGAGCAGCTCCGCATTACCGAGGTTCAGCTTGAGGTGGTGATCCGTCATCCACACTGATATGTCTGCCAGACATGCAGAGATGCGATTCACCACCTGGTTATCAGAAGGGGGAAGGAGAAGATTAATTGTGTGTCGTCTGCGTAGCAATGATAGGAGAGGCCATGTGAGGATATGACAGAGCCAAGTGACTTGGTGTATAGCGAGAATAGGAGAGGGCCTAGATCTGAGCCCTGGGGACACCAGTGGTGAGAGCACGTGGTGCGGAGACAGATTCTCGCCATGCCACCTGGTAGGAGCGACCTGTCAGGTAGGACGCAATCCAAGAGTGAGCCACGCCGGAGATGCCCAACTCGGAGAGGGTGGAGAGGAGGATCTGATGGTTCACAGTATCAAAGGCAGCAGATAGGTCTAGAAGGACGAGAGCAGAGGAGAGAGAGTTAGCTTTAGCAGTGCGGAGAGCCTCTGTAACACAGAGAAGAGCAGTCTCAGTTGAATGGGGATTCAGCAGGGAGGAGAAGGTGGCAAAGAGCTTCCTAGCGGTTCAGATTTATCGGTGGTGACAGTGTTTCCTAGCCTCAGTGCAGTGGGTAGCTGGGAGGAGGTGCTCTTATTCTCCATGGACTTTACAGTGTCCCAGAACTTTTTGGAGTTAGTGCTACAGGATGCACATTTCTGTTTGAAAAAGCTAGCTTTTGCTTTCCTAACTGATTGTGTATATTGGTTCCTGACTTCCCTGAAAAGTTGCATATCGTGGGGGCTGTTCGATGCTCATGCAGTATGCCACAGGATGTTTTTGTGCTGGTCAAGGGCAGTCAAGTCTGGGGTGAACCAGGGGCTATATCTGTTCTTAGTTCTGAATTTTTTTGAATGGGGCATGCTTATTTAAGATGGAGAGGAAAGCACTTTTGAAGAACATCCAGGCATCCTCTACTGATGGAATGAGGTCAATATCCATCCAGGATA